CTGGAACAGAGGAAGTAGATCTGATCGTTTCACAAAAAAAACTACTCTATAGGAATTGACCTCGTCACCGCCACTGCAACACTGGCGCCTCCCTGGAGTCCACCGATCTTCTTCAGCCTTGATCTTAGCGTGATCACATACATCGATTCCAAGACATGAAGGCAATGTTTTTGTGGTGTCGCGAAATGCACCCAAAAGCTAAAAATGATGTCCATGTGTTGAAACATACTATCCACCATTCTCGACTTTGGATGAATTCAATATGTCATCGAAACCAGAAGATCTCAAATTGAAGAGCCGACCAACGTACTATTTAATAAATGTTCTAGTCCACATCGACCCACATTGTCTGGATGTTAGGGGGAGGGGGGCTACCCTCGCGAGGTCCAGACTTGAGAGGAGCTCCACCTACACCCCGCGATGATGTCCTCTTTGCCTATCAAAGTTGGAACAGCTCGCTAAGCGCCACTCCATCTAGATTAGACATAGGCATTCGTTGGGCCAGTGTTGAGTGAAGATGTACTCCAATGCTTTTTTTTAACCAAATTCTAAAATTCTTGAAAGAACCATCCCCGTTTTCCCCGCTCGATCTTTCTTTCTTCCTGAGGTCATACCTCTGCCACTTTACCATGAGTTTCACTAAGGCATATAACCTCATTCGGGTAAGAGGAGCAAGGAGTGGGGAACATCTAATTATATGCTCTTTAGCAATTTGTAGCATAGATGTGTCAAAATTTTAGGAAAAAAAAACATAGCCTCAAAGACCCAAAGGTTTCCTTTTCAGATCTGAGTTATTCATTTTTAGGAACTTATACATTACTAAAGATATACTTGCGCTTTGCCGCAAATAAAAAATGTACGAAACAAATTGTTGTCGTTGTCGACATAACTACAGATTAGGAGGTGACGATGGTAAGCGATTGCAATGAAACGTAAATGTATGGTGTGTAGGTAGGGGGGGTATATGTGGATGTTGCCACACTACATCGATAAAAGTTGACATGTCATGCTTCTTAAATAGGGTCGATGTATCATAAAAAAAAAATCGATGTGTATATGAGCGCTTGTGTCTGTACTGATGTTCAAAAAAAAAAAGAGTTGATGCGAGAGACAAGGCCGTCGGTCCGAGCATTATCTTCACCCTTGTTACAGTACTTATTTACTCCTACAACCCTAGGGAAACAAATTATTTCAGACGAACCCAAAAGAACACACGTACCACCGCCGTTTGCACCGTCTTGAGAAGATGGCTTGTACGCGTCGTCTAGCTATGCCGACGGTTGTTGCTAAAAAAAAAAATCTGTGCTGGCGTGGGTTGACTCGAAGTCCGCGCCGGCACCTGGCTGCTGCCGGCGAAGCGACGCCGCCTCGCTC